GAAATCTACCGTTATTATTATTATCTGGAGTCGTGTACTGTCCCCCGCAGAGTTCACCAATCGAAATCCAACTACTGGTTGACCATTTAAGTTCAGTAAGTGGCACCAATCCTTTCACTCACCTTCTAATTAATGGTGACTTCAATGCCCCCGGTTTTCATTGGTTCAGAGTATACTCTTCTGATCTTTCTTTTGGTCATCCCCTTATCGATATAGTATTAGAAAACTCCTAGACTCAACACGTAGATCAACTTACGAGGTTCCGTCCGGATCAGGCTCCTTCATTGCTAGATCTGATTATACCGAATGAAGACAACCAGATTGGTATGGTAAATTACCTCCCACGTCTCGGAAAGTGTGACCTTGTTGTCCTGCTGTTCGACTACATTACACAGTGGAAATCCAAAATGGAGGGTCTAGAAACGGCTAGATCATTCAAGCGTACCAACTGCCGTTCCTTAAGACAGTTTTTGAGGGCGCAGTTTACCGTCCTTCCCTTGGACCTGTCCGTAGACAACCTCACAATACATATCGAACTAATCGTCACTTCAGTTGACGAGTGGTTCATTGCCCGTGTTCTGGCATGCTCTAGCTCTAAACCACCTCCTCCCCGTTCCATGCACAAGCTTTTAGATGAGCGGTCTAGACTGTTTATTAGATACAAGCAACCGGGATTCGAAGCTAATGGACTGGCTCGGAAACATCTGCCGCTCAAATATTAGAGAATACAAACTGCGCGCTCAACGAGCTTTACTTGAACGGACTCAAACGAACAGACAGTTCCTCCACAAGTATATCCGTCGTTTTCTCGGCACATCTCACCCCTGTCTTACCCTCAAGTTACCAGACGGGACAGAAATAACTGCCCCTACACAAAATGCTCCCATCACTACCCATCCGATACTACAACCCTTTACACTAAACTCCACGTTCAGTAGTGTTACTTACTCACAGCTGGACATAGAGAAAAAACCACGGAACCTCAATCCGTACTGCCCTATGGGGTCCGACAAAGTACACCTTGGAACTCTTAAAGAACCGGTGGACATCTCAGCTGTCCTTTAAACCCGACTCTTCTAACGATGTATGGATGAGGGAATATTTCCTACTCGCTGGAAAACCGCAGTTCTCTCTCCCATCTACAGAAAGGTGGTAGATCCCTTCTAGTAAGCTACCGTCCTATTTACCTGATTAGTGTACCGAGCAAAATTCTAGAGCGCATTCTGAAAGAGGCCACCGTGAAGCACCTCTGCGCCAATAATTTACTTTCCATCTTCCAGCATGTATTTCTGCCAGGCAGATTTTGCATCAATAATATGCTGACTGCATTGGATAGTTTAACAAAGGCCTATGATGGAGACGAAATCTCAAGTCAGGTCGGGTCACAGGGCTTGCGACTGATGCCGATTTGAGTCCAGGTTGTTGCATCGTGAGCTTATCATTTGCCTACGTGTGATTCGACAATAGTGGATCCTTTGCGAACCGAATTTTGCTCCCTTTGGTGCCGACTTGGGCAAATTTTCGGTTCAGGTTTTACTTTGGCAGTTGATATAGTTTAATGCTAAAGGGGAGTGCCTGCATAAAAGAAAAAAAGAAATGCCTGCAGTCTAGGTAAACACCTAGCTGAGCGGTTAGTGGGATGAGGCGATGCTATACCCTAGGCCGTTTCCTAATTTTGAGGGGGGATTCGTATATGCCCGGCAGAGTGCTAGAGAAGCTTAAGCAGACGTAATAACAAACAACCCTGGAGTATCCTGCGGGTAATTTGAGGTCAAGTTGGTTAGTCTTATTCATCGTTCGGAAATATACCCGACCATGCCTCGTCCAGCTGATGCTTAAAAGCTCCAGCAACCACTTGCTGTGGTAACCGGTTCCACGCGTTAATTACGCGATGCGAAAGAACTGGGCTCTTGCAATATGAACCCGTTGCTCCTAGAAATAGTGTTGTGGCATAGATGCAGTGGTGTTTCCGTTACCGACGCGCCGCTCAACTGCTTGAAGGTCTCTATGAGGTCCCCTCACATTCCCCTTCTCTTGAGGGATAACAGGTTTAACCTCCTGAGCCTCTCGCTGTATGCAGCACTACTCCTACCTTTTATGACCCTCGTGAATCTTCTTTGTACCGCCTCCAGGGCCTTGACGTCTTTCACCAAATAAGGCGCCCAGGCCTAAACGCAGTACTCTAGATGTGGCCTCACAAGGGCCTTGTACAGTGGAACCATCACAATTTTCTCTCGAGAGGCTACAGCCCTCAGGGGTTGATGGAGTGCCTTATTAGTATTGTCCGCAGCTGCCAGACACTGAGGCGTCGGTTTGAAGGTCTGGTCTATGAGGATACCCCTAATGTCCCCGATCCTCCTGAAAGGTAGATGGTTTTCCATTGTCGCACTTCGCCCATCACTTTTTGTACCGATTGACATTAACTGTTACCACTTGCTGAGGTTCAGCGGGAGTTCCCATTAAACTGTCGACTCCTGGATCTTGTTCAGATCCTCTTGCAATTGTGACACATCTGGATGGCCTACGATTTTGACGTATTTGGTCAACCAGCAGAGCGGTGAGTGCAGACTACGGACCATATCATTGATGTATCCGAGGAACAGCATGGGACCAAGCACCGAACCTTGGGGGACCCCACTGCCCCACAGGGAAATAGCCATCTTGTGCTGTTACCGCAGCCCTACATTCTCATGTAGTGAAGATAAAACTCTGTTGGCTCTCCTTCGGGAGTTAACAGAATCCCATCGGAGCATACTACTCCTAGGGGACTTCAATGCCCCTGGGGTTAACTGGGAGGATGGTACTGCCCCAAGAGGTAGCTTCCTTGAACTCCTGGTAGGCATGGTACGAGGAAAAACCTGATCCAACATGTCAACCAACAAATGCGCTGGAGAGAAAGGCAAACCCCATCGACCCTTGACCTTGTTATAACCAGGTTCATGTCAGATATTGAGAGTCTGGAGATCCATGAACCGATTGGTAAGGGCGATCATGCATTCCTCATGTTTCGCAAGAGTCTAGGGGGCAAACCGGTATCCGATAAAGATCGGCGCCAATGGTATTGAATAAACCCTCAGGACATCCAAGGCAGGACTGAACGGCTTGACTGGACGTTAGAGGAGTTCGACCCAGCAGCCGACCTATGAGACCTGGTGCAAAGTTCTATGTCAGTTCTAGGCCCATTCTTCTTTCTTCTGTACATAAACGACCTTAACTGGGGCCTCAAAAACCCCTACTTCAAGTTTGTTGACTATGTGAAAATCGTCGGGTCCGCACCAGGGGAGTCGATGCAGAGAGACTTAGACAAGATTCAGGAATGGACGAAGGTTTGGGACCTTCCTCTAAATGTCCGTAAGTACCAGCACCTCAATGGAGATGGAGAGCACCATGGTAGAAAATTCATAGGGCCATCTATGCAGCAGGTCGAAATTGCCCCAGTGAATTCTACGCGAGATTTAGGTGTGAGCATGACCTCAGAATTCCTCCCCACTTTGCAGTGTTGGGATGCTGTGAAGAAAGCCTCCGCAGCCCTATTTCGGCTCAGACATGCAATAGGCTCCAGGAGACTGAAGGTCCTCTTGCGATTCTATAAAGCGTTTCCACGGCCACGAATATTGTGTTCAGGCGTGGAGCTCGTTCTTGGTTAGAGATGGCGAAGCGCTGGAGAAGGTTCAAAGATGCTTCACAAAGTGATTTGGCGGGATAAGAGATCTCTCGTATAAGAGGAGATTGGAGATACTGAACCTACTCTCATTTGAGAGATGGAGGCGGCGAGGCGACCTCATCGAGGCGTTTAAGATCCTTAAATGGATCACATTTATAGTAGGTGGGTCTTAGGAGCTTCTGAATCTAAGTGAAACCACCTCCCTCCGGTTGCATACACTGAAACTGGCAAAGGATAGGGTAAAATGTTGACTGAGGGCCACATTCTTTCGGTTTGAATGCTGAGTGACTGAAACAAACTTCCAAGGGAATCCATAGCAGCCACCTCAGTGGCTGAATTCAAGCAGTTTGGATATCTTACGGGGTGGAGGAATGTTCATCGGAGGAGAGTAAATGTGATCAGCGACTGAAGCCCTCTCATTTTCATCTCATCCCAATGGCCCTTCCCCCCCACATACACAACTCCACTTCTTCTCTTCANGAATTGTTTTTCTTAACTTGGTATCTTTCATCGTTACGGGCTTCAGGGTTCTTGGTGTGACTCCCATCCGAGAGGCCAGTATGCAACGCACCACTGCACGAACAACCACGGAGTGGGGTGTTGTGGCTGAGGGTCCTCTCCTAGTCACCCCTCCACGTGTATACCACTGAAGATTAAACTTTTCATCCAATTATCGCAGCAACGGAAGATCCATGGAGCTCATCAGTCAAGAAACTGGACAACCGGTAGGCTGCCGTCAGCGTCCTAGGCACTGAACTGAACTGAACTGAACACGTGGTCATGAGCTCAAACTTATGAAACAGCGTTCACGGTTGAACCTACGAACACAGTG